GGTAAAAAAAGTGAAAAGATATATAAATATTTGCGTAAATAGCTATGAGAATTTGAAATACTTCTCGCGTGATATGTTTTCTTTTGAAATAATAAATTACTTTATAAGATATTTATCGCAAAAAAGCTTGCTAAAACTTCATTATAGTAAAAAGAACGCGCGCAAAGAAAGAAGAAAAGTAAAAAAAATTATGGTTAAGAATCTATTTTATTTCTTTTCAAATTAAATTGGCTTATAACTTTTATCTTAAGAAAATGTGATAACTTCGTAAGATTGGAAGAATTTGATGTGTGTGTGTGTGTGTGTGTGTGTCAATGTTTTAATAATAAAATTTGTATTTTAATTATTCTTATATAAAATCATTATAATATCGAAAAAGAAATATTAATTTTATTATCGAAAACTCATTGAGTTGATCTTCTTGTATAAATTTATAGAAATCTCTATAATATTTTTGGTTTAAATATAAATAAAAAAAATTATTTTATTATATATATATATATATATATATATATATATAATTAAATATTGTTTAATTCTGTATATTAAATTTATAATTGTTATTTTATATAGTTTTATATAGTTTTATATAGTTATTTTATATAGTTATATAGTATAATTACTATATAGTTATATTTACTATATAATTACTATATAGTATATTATTATTAGAATGTTGGCACAAATTTTCGGCTTCAAAAAATTGATCGTTTTATTGTTACGTTTAATCGAAACCGATAGTTCTGAGTTAAATAAGTACGCAATTTTGAATTAGATAAATTTTATATATACTATGCATTTTAATGATGTGCGATTAATTTATTCTTGTTTTGAATATGCACAAAATATGTCGACGATGATGATGGCGACGATTGTGGCATCGACGTCAACGAGCGTGTCTGCGTTTTTAGTGCAGCTGTTGGAATTGTCGAGCTCCTATTAACGCGGCGCGTTAATTACACGAACAAGGGTGCGCATGTTACAGCGAGAAATTTTTTTATTTCGTTTAATTCACGCTATTTGGCCTCGGCTCGTGTTACCGATTCGATTCAGACTCTCGTCCCCTTTTCTAAAATATTGCTCCAGAAAACGTAAAACTCTGCTAAAACACGATTTATCAATAGCATTCAACTCGATACCGGAAACTAATAGATACCGATAGATAACATTTTATTTTTCATTTTGTGTAAAGCGTAATTCGTTGGCTTTAGAAGTAAGAAGCATTGTAGGGAGAAGAAGAATGAGGGTAGATAGACAAACTCTCTTCGCCGCAAACGCGTTGCGAGTGTTCTTATAAATCGCGCGAAAGCGCGGCTTCCTTTCACGCGGATAGAAAAAAAACCGCAGAGAGGAGAATCTCGCCTCCTTTTTCTCGCGGATTCGGAGAACCGCGTGGGATAGGGGAGGAGAAGATTCACGGTTCGATGGGCTGAATCATCCACTTTGCAACTAGCGAACTCTTGCAGAACGGTAATGTTTGAACAGAGTCCGCGAGCTGACGAGCGGAAGTTCGATGCGCATCCGCGACCTGCGTTCCGTTAAAATAAAAACGCTGCCTTCCCTCACTCTTGTCCGCCCATATCTTTTATTGTGGGTAACTTAAACGAATTTCTCCTCCTCTACCGTGTGCCCAGGAAATTTCCGAACGAGATAAGAATCGGAGATTCGCGAGCGATATCATCGTTCGATTTCGCAAGTGTAATTGTTCAATAGATTCCTCGTGGAAGTTTGAAACAAAGTTTAAGCTAATCAGATATGTCGCTCCCGAAGAAATGATGAGAGATCCACATCAATTTTCTCAAATCCTTCGAGTGACAGAACGTTAAAAACTTTGAATGAGATGAGTATACTCAGAAATAAAATGATAATGCATATAACGATATTGTAGAAATCTGACATTACTTGACATTACTTTTTGGGCTGATCAAAAAATAATGTTGGATTCTTGCAATAGATGACGCTTTGTGTTTTTTAATCTCAAAGAGAATGCAAAATTTTAAGCAATGTCAATTTGACGATCATATTAATCAAGTTTATATCATGTTTTGGACAATTTGACGTTAATGCGACGTCAAATGACATATTATTTTGACTTATGCTCTCCTTAGAAAACTCTGTTCCTGATCTATAACAAATTTATAACAAATAAAAACTATGTTTTCTATGATTTGTATTCTTATCGCGTTTTTTCCTTTGGAAATAAAAAAGCATAAATGCTCGAAAATAACCGTTTTGTCGCTCAAAATAAGGTCAATTCAAGAAAATTTAAATGTGTTTTTTTTTTAAATCATGCATTAAAGTGCCAGCTTTTGAAATATGTATATATTATATAGATTAGAAACAATGCTTTGTATTGAAAAATATAAAAACGTTATCTATTGCAGGAATTTGACATTTTCCGCGGGCAGTCTAATAATTTAATAATTAAAATTAAATTTGTGAAAGAAATTGTTAGAATGTTCAACAGGGCTATTATAAATAAAAACGTTATGAAAAAATATAACTAATTATTTTATAAAATTAATTTTTTTTAAATGTACTCCATGTAAGATATAAATAAATAAATTCAAATAGGATAGAAATAAGAAAATAAAGATTTTTATTTTTGTTGAGGTCAAATAATAATTTGGAAAATATAAATATTTTTTGTGTGATCCACACAACATGTTTAGAAACTTTCAGGAATTTTAATATCTTATAATGTAAATTTTTACATTGCTGTATGGTTAAATATTTAATATATTTAATAGGAAGTATTTTTTTATGTGTACATTATGTGTACGTGTCGCACATATTTTTGTTTCATCTTTAGATATCTTTTTTGTTTATGCATAAAGTGCTAAAATATAAAATCAGATTTAAAGGTTATTCATTATTGCAATGTATTTTTTCAGTTTGTAAAAGTAGGTCGACACTCTCTTAAATTTATTTTATTGTTGGAAGAAGTAAAAATGGTTTCGCTCATGCAATTTTTCGATGATGACATTCTGATACCTTTGATCAATGTGCCGGATCTTTTTCATGTTTTTTTACTTCTTCGCTATCTTTGCTTTCGGAGTTTCAAGACATAACCAGCACTTGTAAAAGAGTTTCTTCTATCTGAAATGTACTTTTTTCTATTTTCGGTGCACTTTACTTAGAGAGTAACATTTTAAAAAAATTTTAGTGATTAAATATAAACAATCTAAAACAATCTAAAAAAAATGCATTATGATCTAAAACTATTACAAGAAATAGAAATTGAGAACTGAGGTTAATTTAAAAGATTATTTGAAATAAGCAGATGTTCCTAAAAAAATAGTATTAAATGCTAATTTTCTGGATTTTCTGTAAAAAAGATAGATTCTCTAAAAAATTAGTAAAAATACAGAGAAAGAGCGAGAAAAAAAGAAAATATAAAACTTTATTTTTGTGAATTAGCAAAATGCTGTTTTTTCTTTTCTCTTTTTCATTCATCTGGCATTCAATTCTGCGATCATAAGGGTTATGCAGAATGTCGTGTAATCTCTGCGCCGGCATAAATTATGGTCGACCTGTAGCTAGGAAACTCGATGTAGTTTCCTGACAGTGACGATTAGACGGCGCGAAACACAACGCGAATTTTCCCAAAAAGGCAGCGCGTGACAAATCCAGAATTTTCGGCAGTAAAATGCGTGAAAAAAAACTGAGACAAAAAACATGCAGTACGTTCGGAAAAACGAAATACGAAACGTTTGTATATGTAACAATTATGTATATATACAGGGTGTCCCAAAAATCCCGGACCGGTCGAATATTTCATAAACTATGCACTTTAGAAAGAAATGTTTCAGACAAAAGTTGTATGGCTTGAAGAGTGCCATAAGATGGTGTCATTGATTTGACCTTGAAAAGTCGTTTGAAGATCACGTGAGGTCACCTTCAATTTTTTAAATGGAACTATCTTTTTTTTATTACATATTCGTGTAGCTTATCTCGAGAGTTTTCCAAAACACTATAATAAAGTATTTCTTCATTGAGTACTTTTCGAATTATGAGGCTTGAAATAATTTCTTAAATTTGCATAAACCATAAAATATCTAGTAAAGTATTCATTTTTCAATTATCTTACCTGAATAATTTTATGTACAAAATAATAAGAAGAATCAATTGGTGTGAAGAAAAAGATAATTATTTTTAAGAAAAAAATATGTAATTTGCAATTAACAATTACATATTTTTTTTCTAAAAATAACTATGCGTTTTCTTTACACCAATTGATTCCTTTCATTATTTTGTACATAAAAGTATTAAGGTGAGATAATCGAAAAATGAATGTTTTACAAGATATTTTACGGTTTATGTAAAATTAAGAAATGATTTCAAGCCTCATAACTCGGAAAATACTTAATGAAAACTAACTTAATTGTAGTGTTTTGGAAAGCTCTCGACGTGAGCTATCAGAATATTTAATAAAAAATAGATAGTTCCATTTAAAAAATTGAAGATGATCTTCACGTGATCTTCAAACGACTTTTCAAGGTCAAACCAATGACACCGTCTTATGGCCCCTTTCAAGCCATACAACTTTTGTTTGAAACATTTCTTTCTAAAGTACATAGTTTATGAAATATTCGACCGGTCCGGGACTTTTGGGACACCCTGTATATGTAACAAATATGTAACGCATATTTTTTTCTCATTTGTAATTTATACTGGAATTAGGGAATTATACGTCTCTCGATATTCAAATATATATTATTAATTTTTGAGTCAGTGAATGATTTATTTAGTAACATATACGCACACATACACACACACACACAAACGCCCACAGCATAGATCCGAAAGTGTGTGGTAAAATTGAAAATCTCGGGAAATAAATGTCGATCCGCCGTCGCGATTAATCATTGCCCATGTGCCGTTTAACTTACCTCGCTTACTTAACTTATCGGCAGATTAATGGCCGAATTAATTACCGAAAAGAATTACAGAGAGGACAAAGCGCGGTTTTTTTACCTTCATTCTTTGTTTCCGTACAGATTGGATGCAGTTAACTGATCGGAACGGCGAGGAGAACGAAATTTCTGAGATATTGAACTGCGCGCAGAAAAGTAAAGCTTAACGGTAAGTACAGAAACGTTTATTTTGAAGCAAGACTCGAATGAAACGAAAGGAAATACTGTGTATATAGAGCAAGTCAAGAATTGTATATTATATTATAAAAGAGAGAGAAGAACTTTAATATTGTTTAAATGATTTGTTTTTACGACGAATTGCTTTTGCTTTATATTTTTAGAAACTTGTTAGAAAATTATTTTTATTTCATTAGAGCACGAGAGCGAGAAAAAGAGGGGAAAGAGAGAGAGAGAGAGAGAAAGAAATTTATTGAAGTCGCACAGAATATGGTTGCAAAATGTTGAAATGAGCACTGTTCAAGCATTTTGTAATGAATTTTATCTTCTTCCCGAGTTGAAATTATGGCCCTATAATAAACCTTCAATTTCATTATATACATATAGGAGTTAAGATAGTAAAGGAGGTCCAATTGCAAGGATAGAATTTACTCTTACTCAAAACCTAAAAGTGTCTAAAAATTCTGTTTTCGCAAAATTAGCATTAAAGTAGGTCCTCTTTCAGTAGGACCCACTTTAATTATCAAAATATTGACAACATTTTTAGTTTCAAAATAGCATTAAAGCAAAATTTACAGAATTTAGAATTCAATGCAGGAGTAAACAAGTATATCATCAAAGTAGATTATTGCCACTCGTATAAGCATATAGATCTGTTAAGTAGGTGCAAATTAGTTTTAAAAGTGTCAAAATAGGATCAAGATTTCGGGTTGAATTATGGCTCTTCAAATATTTATAGAACACGACCGGGTAATAGACACAGGGTATTTTTATATAAAATGCAAGATGTTTCTCTCCAAAACTTGACGTTATACAAAAAATGTTTCAGATCAAATTTATAGGATTTCGAGAGAAGAAAAGCTGATGAAATCTTATATTATAATAAAAAAAAAATATATAGTTGTTTTTAAAAAAAAATGTAGCTCTGCTCATTGCAAATTTTTTCTTGCAAAACAACTATGTATTTTTTATACCATTTCATTCCTCTCATTATTTTGTGCATAAAAGTATTGAGACAAAATAATTGTGAAATGAATATTTCATAGTTTTATAACATATTTCAAAGTTTATGTGAAAATTCTATATATAAAAAATTGAAGTATAAAATACTAAAAACTTATCTTTTTAAAAAGGGGTGCTTAGTTCACGCATTAATTGTATCTAACTGTTGTCTACAAAAATAATGAAATAAAAAAATTGCGCCAATTAAGGATAAAAACTTGTACAAGTTTAAATAGAAATGTTTTAATTGAAAACTTTGTTATACAAAATAGTTGTTTTAATTTCCAAAAATAATAATTAAAAAATTAAAAATTTATTTTAAATTTACCTAAAAATTGAAAACTGAAAATTAGTATAAAAAAAATTTTTTTTAAATAAATTAAAAAACTTAGCACTGCCAATTTGATTAGTATATCGTTCAGCTTAGAAGTGTTGCTAAATTTCCAAATATAAATCAACATAAATTAATTAAAGAAATTAAGTAATTAAATTTAAATGTTAGATTAATAATTAGAATTAATAATTAGAATATGCGCCAATTTCTTATATATATATATATATATATATATATATATATATATATTTAATTAGAATATGTGCCAATTTTATTAGCAACGTTAAGTTTTTTTAATTAAATATTTTTTGTACTTTTTTGTTTTACATTACTTTTAGTTTCCAATCTTTAAGTTTTAAAATAAATTTTTAATTTTTTAATATTATTATTTTTAAGTTTTTAGTTATATATATACACATATATATATATATATATATATATATATATATATATATACTTAAATGCCACCCTATTGTATATATATATATATATATATATATATATATATATATATATATATATATATATATACAATAGGGTGGCATTTAAGTGCTACAAATCAATAACTATAAAAATATTTGCCAAATCAAAAAATAGTTTGTGAGAAAGTTTCATGTACTCAAGAGGCTTAACTACATAAACATAAGAGGTCTTGCTAACTACATAAACATAAAGTCGTTCCTGCTTTACCTTTAAAGGGAATGGGAAGTAACTTCATAATTTCAAATAAAACCCCCTATAAAATGTTGTATATTTGGATTTTACGGGAAAAAACGAAAGAAGACTTAAATCGAAGGATATGTGAAGTTTGCGTTAACTTTAGAACGATTAACGTGACTTTAGAAATATTATTTAGAGTTAGACAAAGTTTTGTAAGAGGAATTAATAAGTGTTTAGCTGATAATGGATACCAGTTCGAACATTTAATAAAGTAAAAGAACAAAAGTATATCTTTTATTTAATTTATCATTAATTTTAATACATTCTACTTTAAATGCTTATAACTTTTGATAAAGGCATTTTTCAAACAAATGTTTCAGATAAAATTTACTTGTTTTTCCCGTAGAATCCAAATAAGCAACATTTTATAGAAGGTTCCATTTGAAATTATGAAGTTACCCTCATCTCCCTTAAAATAAAGCGGGGGCGACTTTATGTTATGACATTATATGTATAGTTAACAAGACCTCTTAAGTACATGAAACTTTCTCATGAACTATTTTTTGATTTGACAAATATTTTTATAGTTATTATTTTGTAACAATTTACGTGCGCCACCTTGTATATACATATATATACATATATTTTTTTAATATAAGCAAATTATATATAAATATATATAGAATAATTATATATAAAATATATTTAAAAAATCATATATAAAATATACATAAAAAAATATATATATATTTTTTTATATTATACATATATATATATATATTTGTTTATAATTTGTATATATATGTTTATAACTTGTTAAATATACAGAGTGGGCCATTTTAAGTGATTCACTCAAATATTTCGGAAAATAATGAAAAATCAAAAAAATGTTTCAGATAAAAGTTGTATGGCTTGAAGGGGGCCATCAGATAGTGGCAATGATTTGACCTTGGAGAGTCATTTGAAGATGACGTAAAGGTAACCTTCAATTTCTTAAATGGAACTCCCTATTTTTTATTACATATTCGTGTAGCTTATCTCGAGAGCTTTCCAAAACACTATAATAAAGTATTTCTTCATTGAGTACTTTTCGAGTTATGAGGCTTGAAATCATTTCTTAATTTTGTATAAAATATCTAGTAAAATATTCATTTTTCGATTATCTTGCTTTAATACTTTTATGTACAAAATAATGAGAGAAATCAATTGGTATAAAAAAAACACATAGTTGTTTCAAAGAAAAAATATGTAATTGTTAATTGCAAATTACATATTTTTTCTTAAAAATAACTATGTGTTTTCTTTACACCAATTGATTCCTCTCATTATTTTGTACATAAAAGTATTAAAGCAAGATAATCGAAAAATGAATATTTTACTAGATATTTTACGGTTTATACAAAATTAAGAAATGATTTCAAGCCTCATAACTCGAAAAGTACTCAATAAAGAAATACTTTATTACAGTGTTTTGGAAAGCTCTCGAGATAAGCTACACGAATATGTAATAAAAAATAGGGAGTTTCATTTAAGAAATTGAAGGTTACCTTTACGTCATCTTCAAATGACTCTCCAAGGTCAAATCATTGCCACTATCTGATGGCCCCCTTCAAGCCATACAACTTTTATCTGAAACATTTTTTTGATTTTTCATTATTTTCCGAAATATTTGAGTGGATCACTTAAAATGGCCCACCCTGTATATTTATTATATTTATTTTTCAATTATCATGCTTTACAGGCTTTTACTTTCCAAATTTTAATTAATATTCTAATTACATATTATTTAACTTGTCACTATTCAAAATGCTGTTAACACACATGTCACTAATGACGCATGTCATTAATATCGCAAAGCATCGTTAGTGTAATCTTCTGTCGAGAGTAGGAACTGTATGTTTTCTCTTTCTATGTTTTATGTATGTATATGTGCGTTGATGACAGTGATAAAGTGATGATAATGATAAAGACGTTTCTTAATTGAAAATTCCCATATTTCGATTTTGCATCATGATATCTCTGTTTATATAGTTCACGCAGCACAAAAATAAAGATACTTTCTTTATACGATTCAAACTTGCTTTATCGATTAAGCTTAATAAGAATTCGATCTGTTCAGCCGTTATTGAGATTCGATAATCTATTGTGTATTCTCAATTGTCCGACTCGTGTATAGATAGCCAGAGTGTTTCGCTAATGAACTTGGCGCAAGATACCGTTGTCTCTTGATCTCGTAAATTTTCAACTTTTTAACTATTCTATCCTTATAACTTTTTATGCGCTAAATGTGAGGATTTGTATAAAATAATTAGGGTGATTGCATTTAAAAACAATCAATTGATCGTTTGAAAAATGATCTCTTAAAATTTATCAAATTTTCTTTCAGTATTCTATAAATTTTACTTAAAACATTTTTTCTATGCCCTCAAGTTTCGGAGAAAACATCTTTTAACGTTATATGTGAAACATGTAGAGACAGGAAAATAAAATTTTGGAATTAATTTAAATCAAATTAATATCCCACTGCGCAATTTTGTTGCCGCACTAAATATGTAGACTCTCGCACGAAATTTCTTTCCGCTTTAATTGAATTTCGATAAAAATTTATAATTAAAGCCGATGGACTTTAATCTATTTTAAGTTATAAATATGATAGAACGCATACAATCAAATTTTTGATAAATCAAATTTTGACACTATCAAATATTTGAAAAATAAAGGATTTGCGAAAAAATTGTTTCAGATAAAAGTTGAAGTTTCAAATATACGTACATTAAATGATGACACTATTTTGACTTTAGATCATTCGTAAGAGTAAGATAAATGTCATCTTAAATTTCTTAAATAAAAACTTCCTCTTTTTATTAGGTATTCTTACAGTTGATGTAGAAGCATTTTTAAAGGGAAATTAAATCTTTTGTTAAGAATTTCTTGAGTTATGAGCCGTGGAGAAGATATTAACGTCGGCATTAGCATGATCTATACATATTTGTGGA